TGAGGAGTGCAAACCAAGAAATGCCAGCCTGTTCAGAACAGATAGAACAGTATGCTCAGTTGTTCAATTGATGGGTCTGATATATTTTTGCTGGATTCGTGGGGGGCCGGATGGAGTGGCGGCAGTTCCTGTCTGCTTAGCTTCTCTCGTCTGAAATGTGGAATTTCCCAAACAGATAGACTCTACACCGCCAGCTGGGCCTGGGATCATCGCTGAGTTCATCGCTGTAGGATGGCCTCACCCCTCTCTTCAATGCCACCATGTGTGGCTCCGCTGACTTCGTAGAGAAGCTCATTAAGGCCGGATCCATGGCTTTGCCAAATTCCATGTCCACAAGAATTTGGGATAGTCCCATGAGGTTTGAGATGGTCCGAGATATTTCCCAGTGCAGATACAGGTGGCAATTGCCTTTCAAGAATATGCACTGTATGAAATTGTTCGTGTACCACAATTGCTTTGCAAACATGCAGACTTGCTATTTTTTAAATATGAAACAGTGTCATTGACAATGTATTCAATGAGGTTTCGTAACTGCAAGGAATGTCTTTGAACACAGATCCTCTTTTCTGGCATCGGCCAAGCTGTCGAAACGTATCATCCAAGTCTGTCCACAACTTGAAGAACCAAATATTTTCTTTATGGATGCTCAAAGTCAAGTAAGCGTTTCCATCGGACAGCACTTCACAAGTTGCTCGAAGTTTGTACTGTGATTGGACACTGACAGTATTTCTTCTTGGAGTGAGTTGTATCCTCCACTCTGCTTCTTTGGCAATAGGCTGGTGCCGAGCCCAACGTCGTAGCAACAGAGTATCTCTTGACGCCCTACGAATGGGTGACAGTTTCTTGGTGGCAAGAGGAAGATCTATTGCCACAATTTTTATGTATGATGATTTTCAGAATGATCCGTCTCGTTACTAGATTATGCTTTCTGCAGACTACCAGAATGAGGAGATTTCTTCGTTCTTGAGGCCAAAGTGAGGTATGAAGAAGAGCGTGACAGGCGACTCAATGACTTTGATCAGGCACTGCTGCTGATTCCCTGCCTCAAAACGGGGGAATTCTTGAAACACTCGGAGAGTCAATTTTTGCGTTCCATTGTTAACAAAATGCAATGGATATCAGAAGCTGAAACCTCCAATCGGATTTGAACATTTAAATGACGGATGGCAGTTTTTTTCCCGTAAATTCCAGGCATCCAAAGCAGAGATTCTCGGTGACATGTCAGGTGAATCGCTTGGACGACACTTGTTTGGCAATCCGACCCGATATCAAGCCCTTCAAGCAAGTGCTTCAGGTCGGAGACATGAGTGGTACAGGGCAGGACCTGCACTCTGTAGTGAAAACAGTGCCCAGCGCCGTCAGCGCCGTAGGTGTTGGAGAAGAATGGAGGGGTCGAGGCCAAGGCCTTCTCGAACAATCCGAAGATCAAGCCTGTGACTTGGCGCAGCGGTTGACCTTGGTGAAGGTTGATGTGTCTGATGTGCAATAGCTAACACTCCATTAAGCTTTGAGGGTGTTTCTTGTGATTTGTTGATGCTCAATATATGTCTAGACCATGAAAACTATATAGACTATATATGATGCATGGACAAAAGAAGGTCATGATATGGGGGAGCGATCTCATCCCAACTCCTGGTCATCCTGGTCGCCTTCAGGATGGCTCCATCGATGGAAAGCAACCTTCTGAACTCAGATCTTATAAGCTGTTGCTTGGCTTTGAAAGTTTGTGATTTTTCTCCATGGTGGACCACTGTGGACCACTGTGGACCACTGTGGACCTGGGGACCTGGCAATCTGTTGGCGGAGCTGGGACCCTGGGAGCTGAAGCAATGGACCAAGGTCACCTGATGGCTCCTACACCACAGCCCATTATCTGCGCTCTGGCAAGTTTGATTTGCTGAAGTACGAGGCAGCACTGATGCAAATTGCTTGAAAGTGACTTGAACACCACCGTTTCATACCGTTTTGATCCATTTTGGTATTTTCCAATCTGTTGATTTTACATGGTTGGATTGATACCTGAACTGTACTGTGATGTTACTGTTCAAATAGATTTCTAAGTGAGTCAAGTGCAGGATGGAAGGCTAGTGGAGTGCGACTATGTCATCACCTCAGAGTTCAGCAGCAGATCTGGTCACAACTTGGTCACTGTTCCTTCAGCAGATCTTCTGCAGATTTCTTGATTTTTCATGGCCGCCACCTTCCGCGAGGATCCCAAGACTGGACATTGGGAAGGCTACCAAGCGGCCGCGTGAGGTCATAGGAAAGTTTAGCGCAGGGGGCCGCTTGATGTGGCATGGCTAAAGTGTGATTTGAACATATTTGAAATAAAGATTCCAATAGTAATTAGATTGTAATGTGTAATGTTATATAAGTTACTATATATGTTCATTTGTTTGCGCTGTTGTTTGTGGTCAGTCCTTCGAAGAAGATGATGAAGGGGTTTGTTCTTGTCCAGACATCTGCAACAAGGCTACGTTTATGAAGGCATGGTTGGTATGATCTGCAGAGTGAAAGCGATGAAGACATCAGGGCTCCTTGCTGGGTGTCACACAGCGGATCAGTGTCATTCGGGCTCTTTCCAGAAAAAGATCTGGGCAGCGACTGGTGGTGAGGGTGGCCATGCCCCCATTTGACCCTTTGAGCCTTTCTCCAGCACTGTTTCTGCCAGATGTCATTTCCGTCATTTCCCTTTGGCTTAGGACCAGAGCTCCAAGCTTTGAAGGCATGATGTCGGATCCCCAAGCGACGCTTGCGATACAAAGCCTCAAGCAGATATTGGAGATAGAACTTGATATCACTGTATTCTCAAACCTCATAGATGCAGTAGCTTATGTTGTGGATGTATGAATGTGCTGATCATCAGGAGTGTTTCTCGGAGAATCAAACTGCTCGAACTGAAATACCTTTGAGAATCATTTTGAGCCCTTTTGATCATGATAAGTCAGCATGGATAGCGTTGCACACTTTCGCTGCCGAGCTGAAAGTTGTTGATCACTCTGCGGCTGAGGCGATTGTCCAGCACGCGAAGTTTAGGTCTGGGGACTGGGGAGCTGCGAAAAATGGGACACATGGGTCAAGATGAAGCCGGCCTGTCCATTTCAAGCTTGTTTTCTGGTCCTTATCACCCAAGGCTAGGAGGATTGTTCATTTTCAAAGCGAGTGATGTCGGATCAGGTTAGTTCCCCACATTGACGTGTGGGGTTTTTGTTTTTAGTTCTGTATCCGCTCCTCCTTCCTTCGCTCCCTCCCGCCCTTCCCTCCCTCCATCAGTCACTCTCACTCACTCACTCACACTCACTCACACACACACACACTCACTCACTCACTCACTCACTCACTCACTCACACACACACACTCACTCTCACTCACTCACTCACACTCACTCACTCACACACACACTCACTCACTCTCACTCACTCACTCACACACTCTCACTCACACTCACTCTCACTCACTCACACTCACTCACTCACACACACACTCACTCACTCTCACTCACTCACTCACTCACACACTCTCACTCACTCACTCTCCGCCGCTTTTGCGTGGCAGGCGTGGGACAATCTGCACTGCCAAGGGGTCTGATGTACGCCCTGGCGTCCCTTGGGGCTCCGCCTCTTTTGCGTGGCAGGCGTGGGACAATGTGCACTGCCAAGGGGTTGGATGTACGCCCTGGCGTCCCTTGGGGCTCCGCCTCTTTTGCGTGGCAGGCGTGGGACAATCTGCACTGCCAAGGGGTTGGATGTACGCCCTGGCGTCCCTTTGGGCTCCGCCGCTTTTGCGTGGCAGGCGTGGGACAAGCTGCACTGCCAAGGGGTTGGATGTACGCCCTGGCGCCCCTTGGGGCTCCGCTTCTTTTGCGTGGCAGGCGCGGGACAATCTGCATTGCCAAGGGGTTGGATGTACGCCCTGGCGTCCCTTGGGGCTCCGCTTCTTTTGCGTGGCAGGCGCGGGACAATCTGCATTGCCAAGGGGTTGGATGTACGCCCTGGCGTCCCTTGGGGCGCCGCTTTTGCGTGGCAGGCGTGGGACAATGTGCACTGCCAAGGGGTCTGATGTACGCCCTGGCGTCCCTTGGGGCTCCGCCTCTTTTGTGTGGCAGGCGTGCGACAATGTGCACTGCCAAGGGGTCTGATGTACGCCCTGGCATCCCTTGGGGCTCCGCCGCTTTTGCGTGGCAGGCGTGGGACAATGTGCAGTGCCAAGGGGTCTGATGTACGCCCTGGCGTCCCTTGGGGCTCCGCCTCTTTTGCGTGGCAGGCGTGGGACAATGTGTACTGCCAAGGGGTTGGATGTACGCCCTGGCGTCCCTTGGGGCTCCGCCTCTTTTGCGTGGCAGGCGTGCGACAATGTGCAGTGCCAAGGGGTCTGATGTACGCCCTGGCGTCCCTTGGGGCTCCGCCTCTTTTGCGTGGCAGGCGTGGGACAATGTGCATTGCCAAGGGGTCTGATGTACGCCCTGGCGTCCCTTGGGGCTCCGCCTCTTTTGCGTGGCAGGCGTGGGACAATGTGCATTGCCAAGGGGTCTGATGTACGCCCCAACGTCCCTTGGGGCTCCGCCTCTTTTGCGTGGCAGGCGTGGGACAATGTGCACTGCCAAGGGGTCGGATGTACGCCCTGGCGTCCCTTGGGTCTCCGCCCCTTTTGCGTGGCAGGCGTGGGACAATGTGCACTGCCAAGGGGTCTGATGTACGCCCTGGCGTCCCTTGGGGCTCCGCCTCTTTTGCGTGGCAGGCGTGGGACAATGTGCATTGCCAAGGGGTCTGATGTACGCCCCAACGTCCCTTGGGGCTCCGCCTCTTTTGCGTGGCAGGCGTGGGACAATGTGCACTGCCAAGGGGTCGGATGTACGCCCTGGCGTCCCTTGGGTCTCCGCCCCTTTTGCGTGGCAGGCGTGGGACAATGTGCACTGCCAAGGGGTCTGATGTACGCCCTGGCGTCCCTTGGGGCTCCGCCTCTTTTGCGTGGCAGGCGTGGGACAATGTGCATTTTGCGTGGCAGGTGTGGGACAATGTGCATTGCCAAGGGGTCGGATGTACGCCCTGGCGTCCCTTGGGCTTCGCCTCTTTTGCGTGGCAGGCGTGGGACAATGTGCATTTTGCGTGGCAGGTGTGGGACAATGTGCGTTGCCAAGGGGTCGGATGTACGCCCTGGCGTCCCTTGGGCTTCGCCTCTTTTGCGTGGCAGGCGTGGCTCCACCTCTTTTGCGTGGCAGGGGTGGGACAATGTGCACTGCCAAGGGGTCGGATGTACGCCCTGGCGTCCCTTGGGCTCCGCCTCTTTTGCGTGACGGGCGTGGGACAATGTGCATTTTGCGTGGCAGGTGTGGGACAATGTGCATTGCCAAGGGGTCGGATGTACGCCCTGGTTCGGATGTATGCTTTGGCGTCCCTTGGCACTCACTCACTCACTCACACTCCCTTACTCTCTCACTCTCACTCCTCACACTCACTCCGTCACTTACTCACTCACTCACTGACACTCTCAATCACACACATACACACAAAGATCGATGGATGGATGGATGGATAGATGGATAGATAGATAGCTCTCACACAACCACACTCACTCACTCACTCACTCACTCACTCACTCACTCACTCACTCACTCACTCACTCACTCACTCACTCACTCACTCACTCACTCACTCACTCACTCACTCACTCACTCACTCACTCACGCACTCACGCACTCACGCACTCACGCACTCACGCACTCACGCACTCACGCACTCACGCACTCACGCACTCACGCACTCACGCACTCACGCACTCACGCACTCACGCACTCACGCACTCACGCACTCACGCACTCACGCACTCACGCACTCACTCACTCACTCACTCACTCACTCACTCACTCACTCACTCACTCACTCACTCACTCACTCACTCACTCACTCACTCACTCACACACCCACACACCCACGCGCACACGTGCACACGCGCACACGCGCACGACAATGCATATGATGCAGATCCTGAAGAATGAAGTTGCCTGATGATCAAGGCGAGAAACGGTTTGATGTAAGAGTGCTGTTAAGTATCATCTAGTCATCGTATCTGAGCATTGTCCTCGAACACTGTGTGCCACATTGTAGCTCCACAAGCAAATCACCTGTGTGTCTATCACAAATTCACATACATGTATCATTGTATGTAGATTGACTAGCCGTCGATCATGTATCACAGACAGAGAGAGAGAGAAATAGATAGATGGATTGATTGATGGATGGATGCATGGATAGATAGACAGATAGATCGATCGATCGATCGATAGATAGATAGATAGAGAGATAGGGAGAGAGAGAGAGCGAGAGGGAGAGAGAGAGAGAGAGAGAGATAGGGAGAGAGACATAGATAGATGGATGGATGGAGAGATAGAGACATAGATGGATGGATGCATGGATGGATGCATAGATAGATACGTA